TTTGAAATAATCTTTTGTAATCTTAAGTAACTTCCTTTTGGCTCTCTTACTAAATGATTTAATTTACATGTCTGTCTTTAACTTCATTACAAACAGATTTACTGCACTGCATATCAGCCAGATAGCATTCCTGAACCGATCTCTATTTGCATTATTATTCTGTGTAACTTCACACTTACTTTGCACGTCTATCAAATCATAGAAAACTTTCTGCAACCTTTCCTTAACTTCTGCTTGTAATTGAATTTCCGGGAAAAAAGCCCTCCCTTTGTACAAATTTGCCGCCACTGTGAAAGAAACAATAATTAAAAAAAACAAAGTAAAAGCTTGATGTGCCAATCTGTGACCATATACCTCGTTGTGTTTTAAATGTCCGTTTATTATTATACAGCCTCGATGACTGCAGATTTGAGAGAAAAACATTACTGCAGGAGAAAGAAAAAGGGACACAGAACTTAATCACAGAACTTAATTTACTGGTGGATACAAAAATGCTTTTATTTAAATCAAATCACTGCAGTCTCCATCTGAAGAACTTGTGCTCACTTTCTCTCGTAAGCATTTGTGCCGTTCTCTAATCTAACTACTGAGTAGCAAGAGATTTTTCTTCTGAGCATTCAATAATAAAATTTCTCCTCAGACTCATTTTAGCTCATTTCTCCTTTAACGACAATGCTTGTTACTTCACTTTTCACACACCCACACGACTCTCTGAAAGATTTTCCAACCTTGTAGAGTGCTGATTCCGCTGAACAAAATATCCACTGCTGTTTGACAGGCTGTGTAATCACTGCAAACTCCACAAAAGCACTCCCATATTGCCAACAGGTTAATTTTTCAATCCAGCAGGATAAGAATTTTTCTTGCTTTTCTGGGCAAAATAATAACCGTTCTCCAGAGAGCTTCTCTTTCACTTGATGACAATTATATTGTTTGAACTTTCAGTGTAGTTACTAAATTACTGCTCCCTTAGCAGGCCAACTGGTAGCAGAGAGAGGAGGTGGAAGATTCATTAAGTACTATCTAGGGTTTGTGTATGCTGTGAGATGAAGAACCCTTTCCATAAGGATTCCCTGTGGGAATCTGATTAGGATTTATAAATACAGATGTACTGGGTCTGGCTGGGATGGAGTTATCTTTCCTCATAGCAGCCCTTATGGTGCTGTGTGTTGTGGATTGGTCACTAGAACAGTGTTGATAACACACCCATGTTTTGGTTGCTACTGAAGAGCGCTTGTACAGCCTCAAGGCCTTCTCTTTTTCCTCCTCTTGTCTCCCTCCCAGCGAATAGGCTGAGGTGGGCAAGAAGCTGGGAGGGAACACAGACCGATGGATATTCCAAGCCATATAACATCACGCTCAGCAATAAAAATGGGTGGAGGAAGAAGAGGGTGGGCTCTTTAGCTTCCAAGATTGCTGTTGTTTGGAGACTGGCTGGGCATCGGTCTGCCTGTGGGAGGTGGTGAACGATTTCCTTTGCTTCACTCGTTTTTCCCCCCTCTCTTTCCTTCACATCCTAAACTTAATTTATCTTGACCCACGAGTTTTCTTGCTTTTGCTTTTCCTATTCTCTCCCTCATCCCATGGAGGGAGGGGCAGAGGGGGCGAGTGAGCAGCTGTGTGGGTACTTAGCTGCTGGCTATGGCCAACTCACCACATTAGATAAGTACACCCCTGCAGAAAGGGACACGCATGGTATAACACTAAAGCTTTTCAGGCTATGTCAACATCAGCATCAGCCACCATGCAGTGAATGCTTCCTCCCATCAGCTCATGACAGTTCTCAAAAAGCTGCTGTACAGCTCAAAACTGCTCTGACAATGCTTCGCCTAGACCTCTCACACCTCCAAAACTCACCCTGTCATGGAACAAAAATGCTATATCTGCTATAGAGGTTCCTCACCTTAAGAGAAATAGAGCACTTGCAGTGCCTGACAAGAAATAAAACAGAATTTTAGATCTCATACCTATTTATTTCTGGTTTTGTTTCTCCTAGATGTCATGTATTAGAACATTTTTTTTCATCTAAAGCAAGAAAAAGCTCATTAGCTCTGAAGAGCTCTTTGATTCTCTTAGAAATAATATAAACACATAAGAATTTTGGCCTTTAAAAGCACAATTATGTTTTAGATGACCATAGTATCAGCTAAGGATGTGAAATGTTTCAAATACTGCAGGGGCATAATAGCTAAGTAACAGGTAGATAGAAATGCACCTGAAAGCGTAACCAGCTAGTGGAAGAGCAACACTTATGGAAAACTTAAGATTAGCACAATTGAACAGTTTATGCTTAAAAAAGAAGAGTAAATAACTGGTATTTAGCAAGGTTTTGGGTCACTGAAATAATCAGTGACTCTACCTGGAAGGAAAGGAAGACGATGGAGACGGCATCAAGTAAATGCATCAAACATCCCTACAGCCTACGAGCCTTTCAAGCCCTTCCCAGTATAACGAGGACAAACACGGTCTGGCTGAGGAAAAGAACACGCAGACTTTCAGTATGGTGGCTCCAGGTTACTTAAAAGTACGTCAGGTGCTGGAGTCAAAGATAGTTGCATATATGCTACTCACAGAACATTTATGATTTATCAGCGGGCTCCAACTCTCCAGCATCAGTAAATCATTCCTCATTTTCTGCCCTATATTCTATGTATACACTGCACAGTGCTACTCTAACGTGTTAAGCAGATGCTGTATTTCGCACCAGAAGAACTACATTTTAGATGCTGATAGTTACAGTATTATTGTAATTTGCACTCAAGTAACAGGAATTTCTAAGCTCTCTGGTGACCTCTGAGATTCAGCTCCTTTCTCCTGATCCTACAGCAGGCCCAGAAATTTTTCTTCTTTCACAGAAACCAGTGGCAGTTCTGCTCTGTCTAGTCATTTTTTTTTTAATATCAAATTAAAGGGGAGTGGGATAAAGCGTGTAAAGCTGTGAAAGGCCACAGTATTTCTAGAATATGTTCCACATACATATGCTATCAACAGTCAAGAGTTTTCAGATACAGGTTCTTAAAACCACCTTTACGTTCTGTGCTGGGTTTGGCTGGGGTAGAGTTAATTTTCTTCATAGCAGCCAGTATGGGGCTACAGTTTGGATCTGTGCTGAAAACAGCGCTGATAACACAGAGATGTTTTATTCATTGCTGAGCAGTGCTTACACAGAGTCAAGGTCCTCTCTGCTTCTCACCCTACACCACCAGTGAGCAGGCTGGGGGTGCACCAGAATTTGGGAGGAGACACAGCCGGGACAGCTGACCCCAACTGACCAAAGGGATATTCCAGACCATACGATGTCATGCTCAGCATATAAAGCTGGAGGAAGAAGAGGGGAACATTCGGAGTGATGGCGTTTGTCTTCCCAAGTATCCATTACACATGACGGAGCCCTGCTTTCCTGGAGATGGCTGAACTCCTGCCTGCCAATCGGAAGCAGTGAATAAACTCCTTGTTTTGCTTTGCTTGCTTTTGCTTTACCTGCTCAACTGTCTTTATCTCAACCCACAAGTTTTCTCACTTTTACCCTTCTGATTCTCTTCCCCCTCCCACCAGGGGGGAGGGAGTGAGTGGCTGTGTGGGGCTTAGCTGCCGGCCGGGGTTAAACCATGACACATTCCTACACAACAGCTAAGACAAAGAATGAGAGCAGCAGTTGAAATACCAGTTATTATCTGTACTGCACTCAACTGTGACAATTAAAAAGCTACTGTTCTCAGGCTGTGCATATACACACCAGCAAAAATTATCTAGTGAAACATTTCTTCTGTGGGGAAAACATTGTTACAGCATGTGGTAAGATTAGGCACTTTATGAGAAACAAAAGCAGGAAAAAAGGTAAAACACAATTTTCCCTTTTAAACATGTATCATGTAAATTACACCTCTAGTCACTCAGATAAATAATTAGCCTCTGCAGAATTTAGTTTTCAACCAAGGTCCTACTCTTATTTTCGTTTAACTCTAAACAGATCCAAACTTGGCACATGTATTGGCTTTCAAATTCAAATATTATAAAATTATTGCTAGTACTCAGGCCATTCTGCATTATTGTTTTTGTTCAGGTACATTTTCCTGTATAAACTGAAGGATGGTCATACTGTAGTCAAAAAAAAAATAGAAAGCAAATCAGAAGACAGCCTCTGTATCTCCTTCTCTTTTTGCAAAATGGAAATGCTAATTTTTTCATTCTGTAAGGAAGTTTCAGGAGTTGGTAAGAGGTTGCAAACTACTTTGAGACCTTTGGACATGAATTAAAGTGAAAGCTCTTCTCTTTCTCCCAAAAAGATAATCATGCATTTGATCAGTGACCTCTACGTTATTGTCTTCAGACTGATCACTTCCCTTTAAGGTGCTTTGCTGCTTTCACATATTTTGGGGACAGATTGTTTTATTTGATGGCTAAATATTTAATACTTTCAAACTGTTATCCATTGCCTCAGAAATACATCTTGCATGTACAGAAAACAGCCTAAAGAGGCAAAAAAATCCAGTCTAATTTGGGTCCATTTTGCATACAGCATGCAAACAATATGAAGTTCATCTTCATAGCTTCTGCAGGCCCTCTGACAATCCAGACCCCCAATTAGGGGAGAGAAGGTGGCAACAGAGAAAAAGAATACCAAGCTACCTTTTAAAAAGTCAAACCAAGGGACTCGCAACTCAACAAAACAAAATTCTTTACAATGATCTGTCATGTAATGCAAAGTAACAACGTGTTTCACTTGAATATTTCTGTGGAGGGAAACTCCTAATGTTTGAGAAAAAAATTATACAACATGGAATATGAGTTCACAGAAGATGCTACTGAAAGCAATAAAGGTTTATTTGTCCTCATTTTGTAAGGTATTTCTCTCTGACATGCTCCCATATCTTAAGGAAAATATCTAGTTCTCTTAGCTTTGTTATATGAACAGCAACAAACCAACAGTGAGCACTCACCTGTGCTTTGATACTCTGAGTATCTGTATGATTTGTACCAGGGCCCATATGTACTGTGACTCTCAGTGACGTCTTGTGAAACCCGCTGTGGTGTGCAGTCTCTGCCTCCAGATGAGAGAATCCTCCTTGTTCTGTGGTGTTGCATTTGTTCCATCTTTACCATAGCCTGCCATGAACTGTGATTGCTTTCCACATAAACCCAATCTGGGAATCATAGAATGGTTCGGGTTGGAAGGGACCTCAAAGATCATCTAGTTCCAACCCCCCTGCCATGGGCAGGGAAACCCTCCACTACACCAGGTTGCCCAAAGCCTCATCCAACCTGGCCTTCAACACTTCCAGGGATGAGGCAGCCACAACTTCTCTGGGCAACCTGTTCCAGTGCCTCACTACCCTCAGAAGGAAAAATTTCTTCCTTATACCCAATCTAAATCTGCCCTCTTTCAGTTTAAATCCATTTCCCCTTGTCCTATCACTACAGGCCCTTGTAAAAAGTCCCTCTCCAGCTTTCCTGCAGGCCCCCTTTAGGCACTGGAGGGCTGCAATAAAATCACCCCGGAGCCTTCTCTTCTCCAGGCTGAACAGCCCCAACTCTCTCAACCTGTCTTCATAGCAGAGGTGCTCCAGCCCTTGGATCATCTTTGTGGCCCTTCTCTGGGCTCGTTCCAGCAGCTCCATGTCCTTCTTGTGTAGCAAGCATCTAGATATACGTTACCCTTCAGAATTTTGTATGAACAAATAAGGGTTGAGCAGCATCATGCACTGAATTGTATGCCATAGTACCACAAAATCTGTCACAGCTGAGGAAAGGTTAAACAAATATGAGTGTTTTGCATTAATCTGAAAAAGATACGTTCCCTGACTGCTGACTGAAATACAATTATAGTTGCTGCTTGCGGGCAGCAGAGTCATAAAAATTACTTTTTGATCGCATGACGTGTTGAGGCCTGCTACTGCTTCAGGAGAGCAAGAGAGATGTAAAGACAAATTACAACTTTAAGACACCGATCTATGTAAATTCTGTTAAAAAAAAGGTCTGTAATATTTTTTCTTCTCAATTTAAGAAGGGGAACCAATCAAACTTGGGTAATCAGCCTTCTTTTATGCTAATGACACCAGTATTAGAAAACGCTTAGCAAGCACAGCTCACTAAAAATGTATTTGACAGCCATTTTAAAGGCAGCTGCTACTAGATTAGAACTTGATATGAATACGGATCTCAAATATTACCTTTTCAGTGAGCACTTTCAGTTCTCAAGACCAGAAAGAAGGAGCAAAGAACAAAATAAAAGCCAAGGTGGGAAGAGACTATAAAGCAAGAGAGAAAAAGGGGTAAACAAAGTGCACCTGACACTCAGCGTGTGCCCTCCTGCAGCATCACCTTCTTATTTAATACCAGTAGTGTCAGTCTACCGCAATCACCTTTGCTATCGCTTACATTTTCCTAATTTGCAGTCAGGATCCAGAAGCTTAGTTACTCAGCATTATAATTTAGAGCAGTGGGCCAAGTTTTGCATTTGGCAGACATACCTGCTGCATTAGAGTCAAACAAGATGCTAATGAACCTGGGATGTAATACATTAGTGGATTGTTTTCTTCCTGCTCCCATCTCTCTTCCAGACACCTTGTAGCCACTACTATCAATAATACAACACTACAGAACAGAAAAGCAATATAAGCAAGCAGAGATATTGGAGTTACTAAGCAATTGGATTCTACTTTTTCACTTTAGTTTTTTTAAGAGACTTTTTGTTTTTCCCTAACAGCACATAATGCCAATTTTTAACTAACTTGTTCCTCTTCTCTCCCTGCAGCACCACACAGAAAGTCACTAAGTGTAAAGACCGGGTAACTTTACAGGAGCTGAGGAGCTGGAAGGACCCCAGCAGCAGATGGGAAGAACCGTAGCAGCCAGTTACAAAAAGAGACCCATTTTATTCTTTCCCCTGTGGCCTCTGCCAGCCGTGTGCACACACTTTCCTGCAACATGTGCACGCAGAATAACACTCTTGGGGCAGATCTTCATGCGTAGTAAAATGTATGTCAACCTCAAAGGGACTATGCTACTTTACATGAAAGTCTAAAGCCTATTTTTTTGTCTAAATATGTGCAGCAGTGTAGGACAAATGTATGAATCTAAAAGTCTATAAAATGCACCTATAAAAACAGGTCTGTGAGGGGAAAAAAAGAGTTCTAGACAAATGGACTACTGCTACCAACTATCACTTCAAGGTCACTTGTCACAGCTGACCTCCTATTAAATGTGGTTACCCTGGCAGGCAGGAATAAAAAACCAAGATAGAGATGGCAGTGTATAAACTCTTGCCCATAGCACTCTGGTACTGTTTTTCAATGGACTGTTGAGTGTCCTGCCTTGTCTTTTTGTTTTTCTCACTGTTACAGTGTGACTTCCCTTTTGTGGAAATCCAATAATGTTTATAAACTCTGACATGCAGTTCCTGTGATGAGTAAATCTTTGATATTCACGTTTCACTGAACAAACTCACAGTACGTGTAACTTTGTACAGCAGAATATGATGTTGCAGAAGTTTAGAAATCAGATTTATTGTGGAGGGTGGAAACTATTTTTAAATAATCTCTAATACCAAAGAGAAGTTATTTATTGTCACAGCAGGCAACTGCAGAGCATTGAGACACAATTTGGCTGGTTGAGGCAGAATGGTGAATAGGAAACCTTAAAATTCAATATATTTTTAAATTCAAAAGCTTCAGCAGACACCATAAAGAAGAGACAATGCTATTGCAGGGAAATTACAGTTTGAAGAATATGAAAACCAGCATAACTCAAGCATATCTCATGTTGCTGCCTAAAATGCTTGAAAGGTTTGTTGGCCCATGAGCTGTGGATGAACTGTTGTGTAGTTGAATGCTGAGGAACCCAAGAAAAAAAATTTAACAAATACCCAAGGGTTAGGAGGGTTATACAAGACTAAACATCTAGCTTTGACAAACTGGCTAAAAATACCCAATCATTCCTGAAAAATAGGCAGTCACATGATAAATTAATACGAAACTTGCAATTTTGCTGAATTTCCAGCCTATGTCTACTTCAGCAGCTAGGTAGACAGGACAGAGTGACAGAAGAGAGAGCTAGAGACTGACATCCGAACAAGGACTTTGGGGCCCAAGTCATGAATTCATTCACTTCCCACACTGTGGAGCATCAGGCTCCAGCTAACTCGTGCCGAAATAGCAAGCAACAAGCTGTTCCTAAAGCCTGTACATTCCCTATTTCACTAAATTAGGATGAAAAGTCGCAGTCACTATTCCAGTATGTGAAGATGGGTTGTGATGAAAAACACCATAATATTTCCTTGACATTATCTCTTCAGGTAACGTTTTTTTCCCCTCTGAAATATGAGTCTTTTGTGTTAACTTTGAGAATTACTTTGGCTTACTACAATGTAAGAGTAGCGTTACTTCAAGTACTAAAACTTCCTCTCCCTAGAAACATCAATGCCTTGTCACAGAAACAAGGTTGCCATCCATCTATTAGAATTTTAATTGAATCAATAAATAACCATCCTGAGTTTCTACACTGGAGGACTGCTGAAGTGTAAAACCTCAATTCAGTCTCTTGTGTTTAATCCTTTGTTATTAGTGAGTTTGGTAGTGTGTGTTCATCTGTTCTCTTGTCCTTCTCTTAAATGTTTTATTGCTTCTTCTCTGCTCACTCACTTCAAAGACAAATCTAGGAGACAGAGGGCCCCATGGTTTCCAAAACTGTGCAGCTTGAACTGCACAGGAAAAAGGTATGATTTTGTTTTTTTTTCCTACTTTGTCTTCTCTTATGGGAAGGGAGAATGATGTGAGGTGTGTCTCCCTTGGGCTATGGAGTCCAGTTCCATGATTTGCTTTCTGGCAGCATGTCCAGGGGTTATGAGTCTTGTACAGATCTTGCGAAGAAGACTCAAAGCAAGAGAATCTGCTTGTATTTCAGTTCTTTTTCCCTTCCTTACAGATGTGGCAAACCATTGTTAGTGAAATGTTTTTTAGTGAGGTGTCAAAACTTAATTTGTCTTATCTTTTCGCTGGAAAACATAGGTAGTGTTTCTATTCTTTAGGTATTTCCATTGCATCAGTCATACACTTGCATGACTGCAGAATCTGCTGTGGTGAAGAGGAGGCATCTCATTTGAACTGATGGTAAAGCAATAATGAAATCAGCGGGGCTCTGCTCAGTTCTCGTGACCTGGTTTTTGTTTATTAAACCTGAGCTCATCTAATACTCAGTGCATAAGGAGTTGTGGTCAATGGCTCATTGTCCAAGTGAAGACCAGTGACGAGTGGTGTTCCTCAGGGGTCGGTATTGGGGCTGATGCTGCTTAAAATCTTTGTTGGTGACATGGACAGTGGGATTGAGCGCACCCTCAGCAATTTTGCTGGCGACACCAAGTGGTTGACACACTGGAAGGAAGGGATGCCATCCAGAGGGACCCTGACAGGCTGGAGAGGTGGGCCTGTGAGAACCTCATGAAGTTCAGAAAGGCCAAGTGCAAGGTGCACGTGGGTTGGGGCAATCTCAAGCACAAACTTCAAAATCAAATCCTGTTCCTTTTCTGAAAGCTAGAGCTCTTTGTTACCTACACAAGGTGCTCTATGACCTTGATTATACCCTGCCTGATGGATAGCCACATCTCTGCTGTGGTGTCCTGTAACGCTTAGGCTGTTTGGTTTTATTTTCCTTAGATCTCTCCAAAAACTCCAGTTCCTTTCTCTAGTGCTCTTCCTGAGTAGGAACTGCTCACTACGGCCTTCCCAAGAGTGCAGTGTGAGGACTATAGGAGCAGCGTTGGCTCCTGAGACCCCATAATTCCTTAGGCCTTAATTTGTCAAGAGCTCCAACCTTGTGCATAAGGGGACAAGCTAAAGCTAACACAGTCTCCACATTTTTTGAGGAGTCCAGACTCTACGTAAAGCAGTAGCATAAAAAATACAGATATCTGAAACAATACATGTTAACATGACCTACTCCACTCCAAGTTCCTTGCCATGTTTAAGCACGCCTGGGGCTAGGTCAGGGGTTAAATGCACAGCTTTTCTTGAAAAAA